AGACCAAGTTTGATAGGATAAAGTTGGTTATTCATATTTTGAGCTCAAACTTAAATCCTGAATATTAATTAGTTCCGTCTTATTTCATGAACCAAATGACTCTTAAAATATGGCAAACATGAATCGAGACCCTATGCTAATTGACTAATTAATCTTGTAATTAGATTAAGTGAGTAAATCATTTAAAATAATGATAATTTTGATTAATTAGTAATCGATTGTAAGAACTAAGAACATGAGCTAAACTATTAACGATTGGAGGGAATGGAAAGTGACAAGGCAAAGAGTGGATCTTAAAAACATCATTGAAAAGCTAAGGTTTTAATCAAACGTTTGGTAGTAAAACATAAAATAGTGGAGATGAAATCTGAAGCAGAGAAAACAGCTTTTATTTTTAATTTATTGAATCAATCTTTATTTTGGAAGATAGTGATTAGTGAGATTAAAGATTATAAAAAGGTGACAATTACCAGTAAAAAAAAGAGTAAAAAGAAAACCTAATAATAAAATTAAGCAGAAAGCTACTTATAACTATTACCATCAAAATGTTCTTTTTTTCTTTAAAGAAAGAACACAAATGCACGCACGTATCTTCGTCATGTTGTTATCTCTTTTATGTTTGTGTGTGAAATAGTAATACCAACATATCAACTATCGTATACAAAAAGATTTTTGTACGATACTCTTAATGGTCTGAGACATTTACAAAATGAATAATATCACATGTTACAAAAAAACAATAATCTTGAGCCAGTTTAGCCCAACATGATTAAAAATATTAAAATTAAATTAAGATACTAATTATTTGAGTCTTTTTTGAGACTTTTCAGTTTAGACTTCGTATATATTTATTAAAGAATGACAAAAGTCTCATATTGGTGGTTAATAAGATGAGTGGACTCCTTATAAGACCGGCTTGAACAATCCTCCTCCCTATGAGCTAGTTTTTAGGATATGCGTTAGGTCTAAGACCTAATTTCACATGATATCAGAGATTAACAGTATTATTCACACTCCATTTAGGTTTAATGCTCCATTTAGGTTTAATTTATGAGAATTGTTATATTGTTCCATGTATTGAATTGGTTGAAGGAGTATGAAATTTTCTCTTCATTATTTTTGTACAATTTTTTATGATACATGAGCTAACTTTTAGAACTGAATTACACTGAAAGTTTGATTCTCTACTAATACATTAATATTTTTTGTTAAACTCAAGACTAAGAAAGTTTAATTATTTTGCAAGAAGATGAGAGTTCTCTTTCGATAGAATTGAGGACATAACAATAATAATATAGAAATATTATATATATGTGTATGTGGGGAATACTGTTGAAAGGGTAAAAGCAAAAAGGGGAATTGGGATAAAAGCACATATGAGTTTGCCCATACTCTGATGATCTCACATTCTCCCATCTAAAACTTTTTCCTCCCAATTAAACTTTTGTGGGACCTTTTCTTCTTAATTATTTCTTCAATCGATTTAATTTGTTTGTCTGATTTTGATTTGATACGAAATTTAAGAAATAAAAATAAAATAAAATTTTATAATCTTAAACTAAAATACTTAAAATGTATCAAATAACCTTTAATTTTGTAGTGTTAAACATATTATGTAAAATTAAGAAAAATAAATTGAAACAGAGAGACTGATATATTGTGATTTAATTCTTTGGTGGAATATTGACACCTTAATCATACTTTATTTTTATGTGTGTAACTAATAATTTATAAACTCTGCCTACTTTATATCATCTTACTCGAGAAAAAACATATCTCAGTTTGATCAGTGGACACAATGAGACAAAATCCTTAGTTTAAGAGAATAAAAAGAGTACGTCCTCCCCAATTTCCTATGGAGTAATTAATTAATATACTTATAATACTACAGTATATATATTTACATGGATCCTTCTTGAAGTTTCAGAGAAGATACATAAAATAATGAATTTATGCTGGAAAGTGGATCTTAATATATACGATAGGCTTTAATATAACATATTGTACGCAAAAATAAATAAATTCGGGATATAAAGTATGTTATCGAAGTGATAAATAAGGGGGTCGAATTAATTTGACAGATAATTAGGGCAAATTAATAAATGAATTATAAATCAAATTTTCTGAATATTTCAACCCAAGACTTTAGTTTTTGTGATTCATAAGTCGTCCGTAGCAAAAAATGTAACTATATGTATTTGGTCAAAATAGTTATTGATCATTAAAATCTTGAATAAAGTCTATAAAGAGATATTTTATTTCAATTATTTTTATGATCATTATATCCATAATCACCAGTCATTACTCCTAACACATAAAACATCATACGTGTATCGAATGACTCTGATATCATTATTACCAGAAAAGTTCAATTCAAAAACTTAATCTAATAGATGAGAGAGCCTGCTTAATCTATAAATTTATTAGCATTTATGACAACTTAAGTTATGTTCTATTGATAATCTAAGATTTTCTTCTATAAAAAACTTTTGGGGTGACTTAGGTTTAACGTGAAATAAAAATAATATAATGTTTTTTAGCATCTCTTCATATTACAAAATTTAAACTTCCATGTTTTTAGAAAATAATTTTAGACAATTAACACATAAAAATATATCGTCTACACAAGAGAATCAACAACTTTATTGGCCACAGTTGACACCATATCCCTCTAGGATTCAGACCACCGCACCTAACACACAAACCATCATGCGTATTATCAATTGATTCTGATATCATTGTTAATTAAAAATAAAAAATGAAAACCCAACTTAAAAAACGATAACGGACGATCACCATATAACAAGTCAAAAGTGATGTTGTATTGATTAAATATCTCTATAGAAAATAATTTTAGATCATATATCAAAAATAAAATAAATTAAATTAAATTGTAGAATATTGATGTCATGGAAAGGTCAAATTGACATCATTATAAATTGGTAGTTACATAGCGTGGTATGTCCCATAGGGGGCTACTTCTCCTGAGAAAAAAAAGTAGTACATTTTTTAGCAAATGGAAGTATGCAAAGTATATGATGACATTTCTCCAATATTAATAATATATATTGGTCCCCTCCATTTGCTCATTATATTTTGTTTCATTAGTCTTCTCTATATATTTTGTTCATTCTTCTTGGGTTTATACAAATGTATTCATTCTTCTTCATCAATCTATTTTTATTACGTACACGTTGTTTTCATACACTTGAGACCTAGATGTGGTTCTCATTTAGTTCTACTCTGGAACGTAATCAAAAACATTTTATCATTTTGTCCTTGTAGTATTTTGAAACTATGCATCTTTTCATCCGATAAGGATCTTGTTATAGTCGCGTGAGAATGCGAAATAAACTAAACTGGATGAGATCTTTTCGTCCTTAATTATGTCTATGGTTCGAAAAAAATTACAATTAATTTACTTCTTTATATTTTGAGTTTTTCTTAGCAATAATTTTGGTTCTCTTTAAATGGATCCTATGTGGTGTGCGAATTTGAATTAATTGAACGAGTAATTTCTGGATATCAGGTGAATAAATTAAACCAAGAAAAGAAAAGTATATACAAAATCAAAATGTTAGTGTCACAACCCAAAGTCATGACACGTATAATGTTTGCTCACTATTTTTTTTAACGATATTATTGATCTCCATAAAAAGTGGAATTTCTTGTAGTGGCTTAGGCCTAATATAATAGATGTCACGGATGTCCTTTCGGCTAAGCCATTATTAACCTCAAAAGTGTTCATATCATGTGAACTTATACGTGACACATGAAGTTAATGTCATGGATTTGTCCCTCCGGCTATGCCATATTGACCCCAAAAGCCCACATGACATGTGGACTTGTGCAATACCTTGTAAAGCTTATATGATTTTCCTCTTTCATTCAAATATGAGATTCGCCTAAAATGTGATGTGCAAGTCTTCTTCAAAACCTAGCCAACCTAGAAGCTAGTATGTTAGTCCTTCTCTCAACTCGCCCTTATCTATCCACCCTCCGTCTTTGGATGGGTCACAATTGGATAGCTCCAATTTCACTTCTCACAAGACATGCCTACATTATACCTATTTCCAATAGATCATCAACAATTATATGTACACTACTATATAGCAAGGCATTGGACCACCAAACTTGAACTTAAAGAGTTACTCTATAGCCTATAGTGCATGTTCTTCCTTAGCTTTTTATTACTATACAACTTTTAATTACAAAGAAAACTAACAAATGTATATAGCTAGTATCATGGACCACATGAATAATGGAAAGATAAGCATATCCAATTTGGCCTTTCACAACAATACTTTTGTGTTATGTTTTAATTTTAATATATATATATATATATATATATACCAACAAGAAGGGGAGTTATATATAGTACAATTACAAAGACTTGTCAAGAAAACATGTGGGTATCAAAGAAAGAGAAATAACAATCAAAAGAAATATGGCCCTTTTGTTATCATTTCTCTTCACAAATACACTTTTTTCATTCAAAGCCTTGGGATTGAAGGCAGCAGCGCCAGACATTTTTAATCATAACCTTAGGGAATTATAATCATCTCCCTGTAATTGCAGTCACCCCTAAATACCCACCCTACCCCTCCACCAAAAAAATAATAAAATACAAAAATATAATTAAGTATTATACAGTATGATGCCCTTGGAGACAAGAGTGGGAGACATGAAATTCGTTTTTTATATATTGTGAATGTGCAAAAAAATAAAGTTTGGCAGAAAAAGGAAAAAAATAGAATACATTATAGTATACCTTATATACTCATTTTTGTTTTATTTTAATACAAACGCGCTTTCCTTTTTAGTCTGTTTTGAAAAGAATGTAAAGTTACCTTCTTAATGTTTCTATAGTTACGTATCTGTCATGACATGTTTAAAACTACAAAATTCAGAAATACTTATTTTTAAATGTATGTCTAGATAAATACTGTCATATAAAATGAAACGGAGGGAGTATATATATATATATATATATATATATTATGAGAGCTATAGCTAGGGGTTCTATCTCTTCTTGTTTGCTTGCTTGTTTTCTTTCTTTTCAAGGTTGCTTTTAAACCCCTTTGAGATATTGAATGAGTAAGAACAAGACTTATATGGTGAAAAAGTGGCTAAAAAAGTGAAGATGTCAAATTTATGTAGGTTTAATTTCTTTTGAGTTTATATAGTATAGTATATAGTAGTAGAGAGGAGATAGCTATAGCTTAAGGGTTTTTTTTTAAGAGAGAAGAAGATAAGAAGGAGGAGGAGAAGAAGCTTGAGTAGTATATAGTACTTTTGCTTTTTAATTATTCTTCATCTTGGGATTTTCAAGTGCTTTAAAAAAAAGAAGCAAAACCTCTCATATTATTATTATTTTTGTTTAATTATGGAGCCTGCAAATCTCCATCAACAATATCAATATCATCAACTCCAATTCCAAGATCAATTTCCTCTTATTGGTATTTCTCCAAATTCTTCTTCATCTTCTAATAATTCTTGCTATGGAGGAGTTTCAACAACAAACGCTTGGACCCCATGTACTACTACTACTACTATCTTGTAAGTCCACTTTATTATTTAGTCATATAGTGTTTCATATGAATGATTATATTTTGGCTACTTCCATTATATTATCATGATAAGTTTTTGGAATATTAGAATCTCTCTTCTCTTTCTCCTAATAACTTTTTTTTTTCTTTTGACATTCTTTTCTTGATTTGATGTGTAACAAATAGAAATTAAAGTATAGTAATCCCTTTGATTCACTTTCCTTGGACCAATATTTACAATCTTGAAACTTTGATTAATTATTACTTTTCCTCAAAAGCAATAGTGTTAATTAGATTTTATCTAATCTTTTTTTTTTTTTTGCTTATTTAGGAACAGTCATGGAAGTGGTCTTATTAATTCATATTCTAGTGGAGACATCATCAATACTACAAATTCATCATCAAGTGATCCATTAAACCTAGTTAATTCTATGAGTAGTACTACTCAAGATTTGGGATTTCATCAATGGGCTAATAATAACATTAAGCAAGAAAATTCATATCCAAAATTTACTCAAATGTTGACAAGTCCATCAAGTATAGAAGAAGGAGGAGAATTGAGTGATATGAATGCTAAGCTTTTGCTTGGTACACTTTCTAATACTGGGCTTCAACTTTATCATGGAGATAATAATAATAACAATAATCTTCTTTATTCTTCAAATTCTAGTAGTATTAGTACTAATAGAGGGAGATTTAGTCAAATATATCCCACAATAAATGTGTCCAATTTGAATATAAATCAAGCAAATTCTTGTAGCTCTTTGGATATGAATTTACAGCCATTGGATCTCATCAATTCTACAAGATATGGAGGGAGTTTTAGCCAGACATATGGCTTAACAACAAATCATTTTCAGCATTCATCAAGTGAAAGTCCAGTAAATAGCTCCACAAGTGTAAGTATTTCTATATGTTTTGCGAATTTTTCTAGAGTTCACTATTCACATCATTATATGCAAATACTGAACTCCAGTATTTCTAATACTAGTGAAATATGTTAAGTGATACTTCACTTAATTACAAATTAAAACTTCAACGTTTTTCAAGTGAAATTTATATCAAGCCTTTGAATTAAAACTTTATTATTATTTTTCGAGCTTCAACCAAATATTGTCAAAATGTCGCTTCTTCTTCTCATATATCAATGTTTTTTTAAAAATACTTAACTTAATTTTGCATGCATTTAATGTGTGCATTGTTCATACTATGTTACTAGCAAGTCGGGATAAGCAATTTTAACCTAAGTTTAATAATATGGTTAGTAATTATATATACTTGCATTGAAAAATATATAATTTCTAATTAGGGAATTAATTGCAAGATATTAATCCAACAAATATAATATCCATTTTCCTTTAAATATTGTTTGTGATTCTCTTAATTACAAGAGAATTGGGAAAGTTTTTTTCTTTTTTTTTTACTTTTATAATTATATGCAAGAAAAGAGAAAGGCATTCTTTTTTCATATTAAAGTTTACTTCAGCTTTATACGTTTATATATGGCTCTTTATCTCTTTTTATTTTTTCACTTTCTTCAGAAATGAGTCCGTCTTTTTGATTGATATGATTAAATGTGTAAAATTAACTTTATTATTATTATTTTGAATTTTGAAGATATCGGCCTTTAGTAATGGAATGCCTGAAGCTAAAAGGACCAGCAATACTTTGGAGACTAATAAAGGGCCTCAAAATGCACCAAAAAAATCAAGAGTTGATTCACGCGCATCATGTCCACCCTTTAAGGTAATTTATTAAGTTATATACATCGACCGTGCAAAAATAATAATATTAGACTATTTATGAAATTTATAATCTTAAATACGATACACATATACACATGTTATCTGTTATAACAAGTTAATGAAAAAAAGTAAAACTCATAGTATGTATGTTATTGTATCACATTTGATATAAAGAGTTATTTTATGTTATTGCAGGTATAAGATGAAAAAATTATTTATACTGTCGAAGCATATAAACGATAAAGTAACATTTAGGATCAAAGGAAGTAAACTAAACTTTTGATTGGTATTTAAAGGGTGATTTTGCTTTATTGGAATATAATGCAGGTGAGAAAGGAGAAATTAGGAGATAGAATAGCAGCTCTTCAACAATTGGTAGCACCTTTTGGCAAGGTATATATACCGTCTTTTATTTTCCTTTTTAGTCCATTTACTACATTATGTAAAAGCACATATCATGTCATTAACAATGAATTTGAATTTGGGTCATTTGATTATAATTGCCTTAAAGAGAGTATATGCTCAGTATCTTAAATTGCTAGTGAAATTGATTTTTAGAGACCTTTCACTATCTTAATGTTTGGACCTAGATAGTATAATTAAAAATAAGTGAGTGATGGGGAAATAATTTATTTGAGAACGAAACTTGAACCGACAACAATGACATTGTTGAAAAGATAATAGTAGTAAGTAAGAAAATACATTAAAAGTGTCCTTAACGGTTTAAATTTTTAGATGAGACTGATGATCATATACGATAAAGATTTTAAGTCTGAATCTCATCGTTACATGAGATGACTATACAGACACAAAAGACATTACATTAGTAAAATGATTTTGAGTAACTTATACACTAATATTAGCATAGTAATAAGAAAATTTCCACACTATTAACATATAGAAATTATAATGAAATTCTCAGAATAAAAAGCAAGGTTAAATTAGATGGTCGTTTTGGCGTCAAAATATTCAAACATAGCACGAATTTCATGGAATTGTACAGTGAACAAAGTGCATGCTTAGGGTATTTATAACCCCGAGAAAAACATTGTTCACAAATCACAACTCACTGTATTCCTAAAAAGTTTTTTTCTTCATCCGATATTTGATATCCGCGCATGCATAACCAAAATATTTCAGAGTGAATTAGGCGAAAACCTCAATTATGTACCACATACTTAGAGTCCGACTAAATCTAGACTCATGCATTGAAGAGTCCATTTCTGAAGGCGATACTCAACATGATTTTTAACATTTTCATAAGTTTAAACTCAAAATCTCTGATTAAAATAAAGGGATCACAACTATTCCATCATACGTCTATATTACTTAAAGTTGCTACAACTATACTATACTTGCATTGTGTTAGTAATTTATTTATTTAGAGAGACACATTTATACTGACAAGTAAATTAAAATGTTTTGCATGTGAAAATATTGCAGACGGACACAGCATCTGTACTAATGGAAGCTATTGGTTATATCAAATTTCTTCAAAACCAAGTTGAGGTACCTACCTATACCGTTTATCACCTTCCATAATATATAGCTCGAACTTGCTTCGTATTTTGTTTTCATATTTTTCTTATAATTTCGCTTTACTTCAAGATACATAATTTATTTTCACTAGCTAGGGTTTGAGATTTTTTTTTTATTGATCATGTTTCACTTACTTTCTGTAGACACTAAGTGTGCCATACATGAAATCATCACGAAGCAAAGCCAGCAGATCATTGCATGGAGTAAGATATATAACTTCATTCTTCTCTCTCTATATATATATATTCTACTCACTGTCTCAATTTATGTGAAACTCATTCTTTTCTAGTCAGTTGAAAAAGAATGATATTTTTCTATATAATAATTGAACTTTAACTTTTCAATTTTACCCTTAATAACAAACAATATTTTTCATATGGTAACTCAACGAAATAGTTATTATCTTAGAAAGTCATTTTTCTTTCATCAAAGAAATTGATTTTGTAGGGAAAATAACTATTATAAATTAGTTCAGTAAGCAACTAAAAAATTATCAACTCCAAAAATTTATCTACCTTTGTTTTAGACCTCAAGACTCGAGTTTTAAAAATATTTCTTTTTTTTCTCTTAAATTTCGTGCTCAATCAAATAGTGTTACGTATCAATGGTTATATCATAGTCTCATTGTTCCGAAAGATATTAAGGATTGACTATCTTTCTCTTTATACGCTATATCTTGAAAGGCAATGAATACGTCATTTACTGACATATATACTGTATTGATATTATTATGGTGGGTGCAGGGTGGTGTAGAGATGAATAATGAAGAAATGAAAAGAGATCTTAGAAGCAGAGGTTTGTGTTTAGTGCCTTTGACATGTTTAACTTATGTTACTGAAGGTGGAGGAGGTGTTTGGCCGCCCCCTAATTTTACTGGAGGCACTTAAATTAGGAGTTTAATTTGGCCACGTCATTTTCTTTATGTAATTTTATCATTTTTGCTTTATTAATGGAGCAAACTTGGTCATTCTGAAAAAACAAAAAAACAAACATAACTGTTATGTTATTGTAGAATAGACCAAGTTTGATCCATTAATGGTTTGTTAGTTTTTAACATTACCTTTTTCATATTATTAATTATTATGACTTTGTGCAACTTATTTGAATTCAAAGTAACTAATGCTCCCATTTAGCATCGTACTTGCAATTTTTTTTTCTCTATATGTGCTTCCTCCGTTTTAATTTAAGTGTCTTAATTTGACTGAATACATAATTTAAGAAATAAAGAGAGATTTTTGAATATTATAATCATAAAATTGAAGGTGTGTGTTTAATCTTTTAAATCGTACCGTTTTAAACTTGCGTTGTAGAAAGACAAATCAAAAAGAAAATTATACCACTTGAATTGGGACGGAATGAGTAATAAAGTAGTTTTTTATAGGAAAAATTGTATGAAATAGCAAATTATTAATTCAAATTAAATGTTGTAGTCATAGTTTATTTTATTTGTAATTCGCAGCAAACATCCCATTTTTTTGCCATCTAGTTCGGTATACAATTAGCCATTTTCGGTATACAATTACCCATTCGGAATACAAATGTATAAAATGCATTTGTGTTTGTATAAAGAGAGAGAAAAGTGTATATACAAATACAAATACATATATTTTCGTTCTATACACTTATAATTATACAAATACAGATCTTTCCCTGCCCAGTTCTTTTTTGTCTTTCTCTCTTTCTCGCTTTATACAAACACATATTATACAAATTACAATGTATATTTTGTGTTGTATAAAGCGAGAGAGAGAGAGATTTGCATATAGATTTCACATATACACTTATACAAAGAACACGTACATATACAAATTACAGCAAATGTTTTATATACAAATTATCCAATTGTATAAATGAATTTATACAAAACTGAAAAAATTGTATATAAATTGGATGTATCTAGCGAATTATACAAATCAAAAGCTCCATAGCAAACATAAAATTTGTTATGAAGAGCAATTATACAAACTATATCTATAACATACAAATATAATTTTTATGTTTGCTATATATGAAAGTTGCTCTTCTTTATATACATTTATGGTTTCCGTCAAGAAGTTAGGAACTCTAGACCTAACTAAATAGTGTTGCTTTAATAGACTACAATTTTAGTGCTAATTCTCTCTAAATATCTGATGACAAAAAACAAATTAAACTTTAACCGCTTTATAATCAAATAAATTTGATGTTTAGATTTGAAGTTTGAGCTGTCAAAGTGTAGCTTCAAACTTCGGGTATATTGTTCAAGCTTTTGGGACCTTCGAGGAGAAGCCAACCCCTAACTTCAGACCCGAAGGTATGAGATTTTCATTTGAGACTTTAAAGTTTAGAGAGTCTAGAGTTAAATTTGACATGATACAAAACATGATCATTAACTTGACATCAACTGACAAATATAACCTTTAACTTTGAGTGTGTACAAGTAGACACTTAAACTTATATAAAATTGAATAACTTGACACATTCGTCCTACATGACACCCTACATGACAATTTTGAGTCACGTCCTTAGTGTATTATGTCATGTAGGATACGTGTGACTACTTGTTCAATTTTATACAAGTTTAAGTGTCTACTTGTACACACTCAAAATTGGAGGGTATAGTTGTCCGCTGAAACCAAGTTAAGGGTGATTTGGCGATTGATCTGAACATCAGAAGTCTTAAACTTATAAATATAAGGAAGAGGAGCGATTTGAATATTGACTAAACTTTAAATGTAGTTTTTATAACTGACTAAAATTTAAAGAGTATATGTAAAAGGCCAGCTCCCTGAGTTTCTACCGGCGGGCTACCAACCGGCCCAATAATGGGGTTGAAGTACAGGCCACATGGGCTGGGCTCGTGGCAGTGATTCCGCAATTGAAATGAAGGGCCGAAATATAGTATATGTATATTGTGTGTGTGTATATATATATATATATATATATAAATCACATCATATATCTATTTAAGGTTTAATATTACAGCGTTTAGATGTAATTTTTTTATATTACTACTTATAACAGTTTAATTACAAATATTAACAGATTAGTTTTAATTTATAATTTAATTAATTTAATTAATTTAATTAATTAGTTATTATTTTTATAATTACATTATAATTAATAAGTAAGAGAAATAACATTAATATTAGAGAATCAATTGTCATTATCTCTTCCGCCATTTTAGGGATAACATTATATTTGAGAATCAATTGTCATTATCTCTTCCACCATTTTAGGGATTTTTTCCCAGATTTCACACAACAATCCCCACCTTCCTCTTTTACCCACACGTAAATCTCACACCCCCACCCCCACGTTTCTCTTTTACAGAGAACTAACTTTTTCTCTCTCATCATCTTCAACGTTCATCTTCTTTATTCAAAAAGAAAATCAGTAGAACTCCCACATTTATATGATTTAATGGTGGGATGAGATCTACACACGAAGAATGTTGAAATTCCTGCAAAGTGTGGTTCCTCTCAGTTGAAGGGTCAAAAGGAGAGAAAAAACGAAGAAAAGAAAATGGTGAGTCCGGCAAATCAAAAGGGAAAGAAGAGGAAGGGGAAAATTGTAGAAACCCCTTTTGATTCGAATTCTGATTTTGTTAGTGAAATAAAAAAGAAAAAAAGCAACAAATGTAGAAATTGCTCAATCTTCAAAACCATCAACAAGAAGAACAATAAAAAAGAAGGAATCAAAAATTCGAATATCCAAAAAAGGCAAAAAAAAGCTGTTAGGGTAAGTATTATATTTAATTTATTTTCACATTATTCAAATTAGTGATTTTTTTGCTAAAAATATCACATTATGCTTATTGTTGTTTCGAAACTTTTGTTTGGGTGAAACTTGTACGAAATGTGAATAATATTTATATAAATCTCACTTTAATATATGATTTTGGGATAGTATATGAAATGTGATATAATATTGGTATGCAAATGGTATGAATTGTGTTTTGACATTGGTATGAAATTGGTTTGATATCAGTAGCCCAATGGTATGAGTTGTTAAATTGGTATGCAAATGGTATGAATTGTTAAATTACTCTGTTTTGTATGAATTATGACTAATATTGATATGAAATTGAGATTTTTTCTAATAGGAAGGTTTCTTTTTCAATTTCTTCATTAATGTATTTAAATTTTTAACATTGGTATGAAAATGGTATAAAATGATTTTTCTTTCAAATTTTTTTCAGTGATTGTGGTTTGTACACGTGTCTATTAGCTGAATACATCATTAATGGAGTTTTTGTATGCGTTCTGTTGATATCGATGCAAAGTACCATCGTCAAAGGTATGCCACAATCATATGACATTATGGAAAACAAAGAATGATGATGGCGCGACCAGTGAGAGTGAAGTAACTGGCACTGTTGCTAGCAAATTTGATGGACCCCGCATAATAAAAGTACATGCTCCGAATACCAGCAATTGTCCCACACCAAGACCACGGAGATCAAATTTGAGATAGTTGATTGCATCTTAGACTTTTTAGAATTACAAGTTTTTTTTTTTACTTTTGGACGATATTTTTGTGTTTGTTACAGCTTTAAGTATTTGACATATATAATATCAACTGTTTTATTTCAAAAAGATACCAATTACATATGAATTACAGATTGACTATTGTAATCGCAAGATACTAGTTATATACAGACTGCATTCCAAATGGATACACCATTCTAAAGATAAATTACACATTGACTCTAATAATTCTCGGGATAACAGTTATATACAAAATGCATACAAATTGGATTCAACATTTAGAGTTTATGATTTTACAATGTCTTATTAACTAGAAAGAAATCATACTACTAATTTAGAGTTCATAAACTAACTCTGACTTATAATTGGTATCCAAAATGTACACCTTTGGCATCCAAATTCATATTCTAACACAAAAAAATAAAAAAATAAAAAATAAATGAAGTTGGTATCCAACATGTATAAATACATTGTATAAACGATTATGCCAATGTAAAATAGTGATAATTGTATTTTGTAACAACCTCAATTACGTTTTTGTTTTACATTTTTTTCATCCTGGACAATTTACAACCTAATTGTAAATTATATTGTCTTAACAAGCGTGGATTAAGTATTTTTAAAGATGTATGAAGTTGTATACAATCTGTATAAATACTGGAATAAACAAATCTTACAATTTAAAACAAAGATCATTAAATGTTGCACCAACATCAATTACATTTGGTTTTATTTTGTTTTTCTGAAAATGGATAAATTAATTAATTTTAACAGATTAGAGTGAATTAAGGAAAACAAATATTCCTAATTAGTTTGAATCTCCTAAGTTTATGCTAATTAAAAATTATCATCAATCAATTCAAATTTAATTAATACATCTATTTTCATTTTTTCAGTTTTTTTCTTTTTTATTTCTAATTCCGTTTTTTTTTAAAATTTTCGTTTATCTTTTTTTTTTAAAAGTTTTTTCCAATTAATAAAAACATTTCTTTTTTTGATAAATTTGTTATAACCTGAAATTTTTAATGCTATAGCTTGAAAGTCTAAATCTATTGCTATAGCTTGAAAATAGTACTATAATATATGTCATATATGAAATTTACACTATATATAATATAATTTTTCAATGAAAGTGTGTCAAGCAAGGATAACTTCGTGCTTGCTTGTATTATATTCCTATTATTGTTATACTTATTCAAATCCCTCAAAATTCTAATGAAAACACTAATTTAACAACTTCAAAAGATTCTATATTCATCTCTTGCTTGATCGATATAATATTCCCTTGTTACCTTTCTTACAACATACTCTTTCTTGGTTTATTTTAATTTTAAAGTATGAGTAAAGCATTTTTGGAATGTATCAACTTCGTCGATATTGAATTGAATAAAAAAATCCAAGTAAAATTCAAAAGGCATCAAAGCTATAATAAAATTAGAAAGGATAAATAAAAATAATAATCCATACATTGCTTGGCTAGTAATAAAAGCCGCCATAGTTGAACTAGTCTCTCATTGGCTCATATCATTAAATGAATATTATTTTATTTTTATTGATCCTTTGCCAGCTATTTTGCTTCATGCTAAGCTTCTTCCATTTATTACTACTATTTATTTACACCTACCAATAATTAACTTATGAAAAACTTAGCTTCTAAGGGAA